CGTAATGCAAAAATCGCACCCTCGTGCTGTTTGTCCAACGAATCTTGTTGATCTCCGTAATGGTATTTAAACTCGTGGAACTTTAGCTTTTTTTAAAAAAAAAACAAATCTAAATTTTCTAAGCTTTAGTCTTTTTTCGAGATTTTTTAATGTTCAGGGTGTTGCGTTGTCGAAATGCGGTCGCTTGCCAGTCGAAGGCGTTTTGAACTTTTTTCTCATAATCAGCGTATGCTTTCACTGCCTTACCTTTTTTCTATTTCTTTTTTTGCCATCTGTTTTTTTTTTCTTTTTTTTTTTCAGCTGGATTGAAAAGAAAATGCGGTCCGTTTTGTCAAAAACGTATTTGTCTGGGTAATTGATATGCACATATAAAAATCATTGGCAACGAGCACCAGCTGGGCCCTTGCGATCACACGTTTTTGAAGTATTTTGTGCTGTAGTATGATCGCTTGGAAACAAAGTAGCTAGAATTTGTGAGATACTGGTTCTCGAACTTCAAAAAGTTAATTGTGCACCTACGCAGCACTTGGACAGAAAACAGTCTGTGAAAATTTCAACTTCCCAGCTTTCTGGTTCCCAAGTTAACAACTTTCTCGCCACATAATTTCACGGGCACGTACATTAGAACCATGCACACTTGGAAATGAATTTGAAATTTTTGAGTTGTACATAGTCGTGGAACATCCCCTTCAAATTTCAGTCTCCTAGCTCTTCTAGCTTCCGAGTTAAGGATTTTTCTGCCAAAACTTTCGCGTGCTCGTACGCGAGATCCAGAAGTGCTGAAAGCTGACACCGCGATGGGATGGCACTTGAGGGGAAAGGATATCCACTGGCAAAATTTTAGCGCCGGAGATTGCCTAGTTGCCGTGTTGAAAATCCGGACATGCGTACGCACAAATACTACACATACACTCAGTTACACATACATCCGCACCATTGGTCGTCAGAATATGCATTTTTTCATTTGCATATATGCAAAGGCGCATAATGAAATTGCACGCGTGCCTAATTACTTATTTGTTTTAGTTTCTGATCAAGTTATTTGCGCAGGGCTCAAGACTTGAAATCTACCGCACTTAATTTCAGTGACATTATTAAACGCAGGCTGGAATGCGCCGAGCGGACCCGTGTGATCATATTTTTTTGCACCAGAGTTGAATTACTCA